TTGCTTGAGTCTTTTTGCCAAAACCATTTCTTAAAAACGCTGTCTTTTCCCCACTTGACTGATTCCATTTCCTTGTCAAAAATCAGTTGGCCATTGATAGATGGGCTGATCTCCAGATTCTCAATTCTATTCCATTGATCTATGTGTCTGTCATTGTACCAGTACTGTGCTATCTTTACCACTACGGCTGTGTATTAGGATTTGAAATCAAGGAGTGAGATACCTCCTACCATTCTTCTATTCTTAAGGAGTGCTTTGCTTATTCGGGGCTTCTTTCCATTCCAAACGAAAGTGGAGATTGCGTTTTCCATCTCGTTGAAGAAGGATATTGGTATTTGTATTGGGGTTTCATTAAATGTGTAAATTGCCTTTGGTAGTATTGCCATTTTCACAACATTCAGTCTTCCTTTCCATGAGCAACGGATATTCTTTTTTTTTTTTTGGCTGAGTACAGTGTACTTTATTGATGGTACATGACAAGATGGGCTTGCCAAGCGAGCAACGGATATTCTTACACTTTTCAAGATCTCTTTTTGTTTCTTGTAGTAATGTTTTGTAATTTTCTTTGAAAAGGTCCTTTGTGTTTCTGGTTGAATTTATTCCAAAGTATTTAATCTTGTAATTAGCGATCGTTAAATGTATTATTTGTATTAGTTCTGGTTCTGTATTCTCTTTGTCACTGTAGAGAAATCCAACTGTTTGTTTTTTTTTTACTGTTAATTAAATTTTCATGGTTTTATTGTATAATGAGGCATTGAAACATCTGAACAAATCAGTATCTGGGTGGTGAGGCAGCTGCTTTCTCCTTCACTTCTTTGGGTTACTAGAGCAACTTGTCAGTAGAGTAAAAAGAAAGAAAGACAACCTTTTGCATTACTTAAGTCTTTCCAAGGCATGCGCTGGTACAACACAGACTTCTCTTGTCAGATGCAAGTAGTCTAGTGTCCAAACATCACGCACTGTGTTAACACCTCAGTGGCAGCAGCGCACCGCACCCACTCTCACCTTTGTCCTTGCTTGTTTGTGTATGATATTTGGAGCATCTGGAGGAGTGTGTATAGTATCGGGAAAAGGAGCGAGGAGGAAACAGCATTGATGCCTGGCTGGGACGAGGTCAGCCGAAGTTGTGCAGAGAAAGCCTGAACAGATCATTGGCGCAAACCCAAGCATCATTGATATTCTTTAACAGGAACATCTGGTGAAAGCCCACGATGGAGTTTTCATTGGCCTTGAGGTAGCCCACAACCATGCTGAGGATACAGCTATCTGGCGTGGGCTGATGGTCCTGCGACGTGATGCTGTGCTGGATTTTCTGGAAAGGAAGGCTAGACAATTTCTCCACAATGACAGCTTTCCCCTGGAACTGTTGTCATTCCCACGTAAGGCATGACGTGTCAATGTAAATTGCGCCTAGTTGGATTCTGTCGTTATCAAATAACTGGTAGTAATGTTGAATGAAGCTGGATCCAATCTGTTCTCAAATTGGCTTGTCTCCCATTATGGAGTGTCGCCCAGCCTCCGTGAGACCTGAGGGGCTGGCACGATGGCGGCAGCGGCAACCCAGCGCGGTCTGCCCCAACTGATTTTTGTATGTTGATCTTGTATCCTTCCATTTTGCTAAATTGGTCCACTGTGTCCAATAGTTCTTGCTGAGTCTTTAGGGTTTTCTACGTATACTATCATGTCATATGCATAGAGGGATAATTTTACCTCCTTGTTGCCAATTTGGATACCTTTTAATCCCTTCTCTCGTCTTATTGCTATCGCTAAGACTTCCAAAACAATATTGAATAAGAGACGTTATATTGGGCATCCTTGCCTACTCCCTGTTTTTAAAGGGAATGCCTTTAACCTCTCTCTGTTGAGAACAATTTTGGCTCTTGGGTTTTCATGAATACTTTTTACTATGTTGAAGAAATTCCCCTCTAATCCTATTTTGTTGAGTGTTTCTATCAGGAAAGTGTGTTGGATTTTGTCAAAGGCCTTTTCTGCATCAATCGATAGGATCATGTGGTTCTTGTTCTTTGCCTTGTTAATGTGATGAATTACATTATTTTTTTTTATGTTGAACCATCCTTGGATACCTGTTATGAATCCCACTTGGTCATGGTGAATTATTTCTTTGATGTGTCCTTGGATTCTATTTGCCAGTATTTTATTCAGGATTTTTACATCAATGTTCATGAGAGATATTGGCCTATAGTTTTCTATTTTGGTGGTGTCTTCCTGGCTTTGGTATCAACCATATGTTTGCTTCTTAGAATGAACCTGGGAGGATTCTATCTTCTTCTATTTTCTGAAATAATTTATGTAGAATTGGTAACAGTTCTTCTCTGAATGTTTGATAAAATTCACCTGTAAAACCATCTTGTCCAGGGCTTTTTTTTGGTTGGAAGTTGTTGTATTACCTTTTTAATTTCTTCTTTTGTAATGGGTCTGTTCAGATGTTCAGTTTTGTTAGGTTTGTTTCAATTTAGGTAGGTTTTGTTTTTCTAAGTATTTGTCCATTTCCTCTAGATTTTAGTATTTTTTGAGTATAGTTTTTCATAGTACTCTAATGTTCGCTTTTTTATTTTAGTTGGGTTTGTTGTGATGTTGCCTGATTCATCTCTTATTCGTATTATTTGTGTCTTCTCCCTCTTTTCTTTTGAGCTTTGCTAGTGGTTTATCGATTTTATTGACCTTTTCAAAGAACCAACTTCTAGTTTTGTTGATAGTTTCAATTGTTTTTCTGTTTTCTATTTCATTTATTTCTGCTCTAGTTTTTATAATTTCAGTTTTTTTAAAG